ATTAATTGCCTTCTGATATTTGGCTTCTCGAGGATTTCATGGATTTCTTTGGTTACGTCCAACCTTCGCCTTCTGATTTACTTGCCACGTGTTTCTTGGTAGCGGTGTTTACAGTTAATCTCAACTCGACGCCACGCTACAATACAAATATAATCTGGTTACTTACAATTAAACAATCAGAATGTATATAATCATAGTCCATAATAACTCCTAACAACCAACATTCATTTATTCTTCGTTCACATATAACAACTATACACAGTACTATACTTGACTGAATGCAGTAACATAGAAACTAGATTATTGATCATAATACTAGCTGTCTAGTAATCGATTGAATCACTTACGGTAACATTAACAAATGACATGAACTCTGAAAAACTTAAAACTTATCGACATTTACTCAGATTATCCAAAATCACTTTGAATAAAATGCATTTTGTGAAACTCAAAATCTTCAGTAATCAATGAATTAACTTGGATACAAAAGATTCAATGTTAAGAAATCGATGTGTTTCTAATATTGATTGATTGTTACGTTCGTTGATTCCTGGAGATCATTTTCAATCACAGATTGATATCATTTAAAGAATAAGGAAGATATTTCGGGATAAGCGTGCCAATTTCAAAAGATTTCAGCATTCAGGAATTTGTCATAGTTGTGTAAAGCACAAATCTAATTGAATACAGATCAGTAGTCAAACACATTAGTAATGCAAAGAGATGTGTGAAGATTGTTCAGCTTCAGTGTCATTAACACAAATGGCCAATAAGTAACGGAATATCTTCTAAGATTATAAAGAATTGGACAGCCTGTAATAACTGTTGTTAATCAGTTTCGATTTGACCGAAAACAACTAAGTCAATATCGGAACATTGAAGCTGGAGTACTCGTTCTCTTTTCATTGTTTCGTGTCGGGATTATATGTGCTATTATTTAATGCTGAACGGTAAATTGCCTTTTGTGTCTGAAAAAGCAACCTCGATCACAGAACCACGTTCAAGAATTTTAAAATGAATGTTAATGCACTGCTAATTTCCTTTCTTCGACCGGTGAAACGAGAGGTGATGACCTGTACGAAAAGCCAAACAGACTCAGTTTGAAGTCTCTCAACTAAAAACTATAATTTACAGATTCCAAACATTCATGTTCGAATCCAGCACCTTCATCTCTCACCGTAATATCAGAAGTTTTTAAATACTATTGACAGTGAAGGCACCGATTCGCACTACTGATTGGTTGCATACTAGAAGAAGACAGTTTTCCACGGTATTCTGGTTTGCCATGTTAACACACTTCATGTTGATTATTGAAAGTTACTTTCAACACTCGCCACAAACGTTTACAATGATATTAAGAGTACGATAGACATAACTGATGACTATGGATATTGGACACGGTATATTGTGAACTGAAGGAGGTAAGAGACAAAGACTGATAAATTGTAAGTCTACCACATCTAATGACAAACCATTATATATTGCATATACGAATATTCGTCAAGATTAGAAGGAATAGTTTGACAGAAATTGGGTGCCCAGTATAATGATTATGTATTGTTCCTATGTTAGCAGTGTCCACTAGCACTGAGTTCCAGATAAAGATGAAGTAAACTCTCACTACCCTTTTAGTTAGTCAACAAAGAGGGTCGTTCGTGAAATGCAGCATTTAACCGTAACATTCCTCTTTCAAGTTAAGATTATAGATTTTACACAGTAACCAGTAACTAATTAAAATAACGTGGTGAATATTTTTATTACACAAAGTAAGTGAAAAGTTCAAATAACCCATTGATATGGAAAGCCTAACAGAAATTGCACAACACAAGGTCAATCGATGGCAATTAGAAGTAAAATGAATAATAAATGTCATCTCATTAGCTGAGAAATGGATTGCTTTCTTAAGGTGTAGAGTTCTACATGTACAAATGAGCACTTGGGTATTTGATTCAGTAATCAAATAAACTCTCTTGTCCACTCTGTTGTTCTCGATCAAGTAGTCACTTGTCGTATTTAACACTCGGATCATCGCGTATCAGTATCAGATTCCGGATAACACAAATCACAACATCTATGATTACAAATAATTCATTTCATGATGAATAATGACAATGAATGGCTTAAGAAATGGTTGCCGCTTGTACTTCACCCAACAAGCCATCTATCATGCTATAGAATTATTCACAAAATTTTATTAATTGAGAATACCCTAAGGTAAGCGGTTACTCATCATATGCAAGCACATAAACCATAATCATTTAAGTAAGAAATGACACTTTGAACCATTCATACGACATTGAAGTTGCTTGATTGATTCATATTGAATAGTCCACCCAAACACGGTTCCATTATACGATAAATTAAACAATGAAAAATCTCTTCTCTGTTGTCTCCTAGTCGATTTACCCAGTGAGTTTGTCTAGTAAACTGATCAGTTTCATGTGCGATCATTCTGCCAGTCTGATGAGTGAGGCTCAACTGATTTTGTGCAGTTTGAATCATGCAAAACAGAATTCTGACTGATCTAATTATCCTACCAGTTGAGACAAATCAACAAGGTGTGACTGCAATCTTGCTCGAAACTGATGCTCTCCATAAAATCTCAACCCACATCACAGCGTAATTCGTCCAATCATCAGTCAGGTTAACTAATACCAACCAACATTTCAACCCATTAACAAACCAGTTGAATCACATCTAAAATCTAGATAAGCATGACAGTGATCAATATACCGTGATCAACCATTGTCAACAGGTAACTTCAAATACACACATCGACGTCCATATGTCTAACAGAAGCACAGAATCAACCAAATTCTTATCCGACTTTTCATGTCCATTTACCGGATTTGGCTTCTCCCAGTGATGAACATAATATGAATGAAATTCCTTATAAAAATGAGGAAAGTTATATCATCATCAGATGAATCAAATGATGATCGAAATTCTAAAGGGATTTTGATAGACGCCGATCCATCTAGTAATCCACTAACGAAGATTCTTAGTGCAATTGACGAAAATCTTTCGAAAGTATCCTATCCTCATGAACTCAACTCAAATGTCGTTTATTATTATCATCTAGTATTCTCGAGTGAAATCTCCATTCAATGCGAGAAATGAAAGTCACATTAGTTGTAACTTGGAGATATGTGGTTCCAACATTTTTTTTCATGGTGAATGATTATGTCAGTTACAGATATCGTGTTTGTGAATCAGGATGTAAACTTCGAAACTTCCAAAGAGAAAATGGACGTGTTCCGTCCTAATGAAAATTAAACTACGAGTAACTTATGAGGACTATTAACGGACTACAATTATATATACATGCATATCTGGTGCACAACTATTAAGTAACCATATTATGGATATCTATCTATATGTAACTTATTACTAACTTTATTTTGACAGATTAGATACTGCTGAACGATTAATTACTCTTAAATTATACTCAGGTTATTCATTACAGTCTGTCACATTCACACCCACATTTCAACTTGATCTTGCACAAATGTTGTTCTCTATTTTATTACAGGATATAGTTTGTTCGGCTTGTATATAAACCAGTTATGTTTGGAATAAATGAGTCGCATAGTGGACACTGTGATTGCAGTTTTGGATTTAACTGGAAGGCCTGGGAAGAAAAGGAAAAATTAAGGACGCAATGTTGTTCATACTGGTCGACTGTCGAATAAGTTATGTGATAATCAGCAGAGATTAAAAACACAACAACCACACCTAATAATGAATACACATGACAGTGATCACTACAGGTGGTCAGCCAAATGTAGCAGGTAACATCAAATGCACACATCGAAGCACAAACGTCTAACAACAAGAGTGAATAGAAATTAAGGCAACATCAAGTTGATTATTTCAATGATGACGATCGATGATAAGAGTCTCTTTCCATTGAGGGATGTTTATTCCAAAGGAATTTCACTCCAACATAACAATATGGCATCCTCTGATAACACAGAACAAATAATTGAGCACCTTCCACTGAATAATGAAAATCAATTGAAAGAATGCACAATGTAAGTAATAATTAGAATTATACAACCAATCAATGAGTGATTGCACAACATATCCGTGTAAATGTAATTCATAGTTGCACACTCAACTCGAATTCAAGTGAACACAGACAGTATAGTACCAGAAGTCACGTTGAAATAATGGCACATGCATAGTCCACACCATCAACACATCACACAATGATTCAATTAATTTACAACTTCATTTGATCTGCATATTGAAATTAACTTCAAGTGAAGTTAATCAAACTGATCGAATTTGCAATCAGTTCACAAATACAAAAGAATCAATATGATTACTGATAGTGCAAACAAGTCGTTGATTGATTCCAACTAGTCTCCTCATTGCTACTTCAATGCTGACATCTCCTCAATGATCGAATTCCATTAATTCGATACAATCGGATGAGAATCAATTATTCCTGTCAAACAGTAACGTCTATTGAATCGGTCGAATCACTAATATCATCAATCATCACACAGTCACATAATACCACTTCGTCAATTCCAAGTTCATTCATCTTAACGTGATGCTCCTCACAGTCATTCAATGTGTAATGCAAAATCATCGTGTAAAATGAAAAACCACATTGTTAACTTTATCATTTATTCTCACCAAAATCAAAACTCTCCATAAACTCACCTTGATGGAATCATCAGATTCGTGTGAACACAAAGTATTCAAGAAAGTATTGAGGCAAAGTCAAACAGACGAATAAAACAATACACTTATCATTTCATTTCAATAAACAAAGTCACAATATGGGAAACTGCATAAGAAAACAAAAAACAAAAAAACAAAATCAGAAAAACACAAGTTCACATACATCGATCCACCACTCAATATCACATCACATCACATCTCATCACTATAATTAGTAGTCATAGTAACAAGAATAGTAGTATGCACATCGTTATTATTCTAAATTACCACCACCAACACCACCACCACCACAACAACAACAACAACTATTCAATATAATCTGTATTCAGTAATTGTGTGTATTCAATATTATCATATTGATTGATGGAATTAGATTTATTCAATGATTCTCTATCATATTTATATAATGATGGTGTCCTCCTAATCGACAAGTTCGTCATCTCAGTCCAATCCGATGAAACACCATAACATTTAGCCATGACTATTAATAATAATAATTGTCCAATCATCACAATAAACATATGCCATACAAATATCACAACAGTTAACATCACTTTATCATGATCACTTTCATCCCATGCTTGATTGAATGGAGAATTTAATAAAAATCCACTTTGACATATCCATGATCCATGTATCATCACACTGAAACATTTGATCCATGTCCATAATAAGGAGTTGTTAAACATCCCATTCCCAACCCCAACTTCAACTGCCTTCATTGATGTCAACATCATCATTTCATGTATCATCGAGCAACCAACTATCAATCCCCAATAACTAATCAATAAACAACAGGTTTCTGTAATATGTGGTTGTTGATAGGATTGAGCACGTAAACAATAAGTATGTACAAAGAATGGTAATGCATATATCATAGAATCAAATCCTTTCGGTAATACAATGATTGTTGTCGACATGAATATATCCAATAAACCAACTAGCAACATTGCTGTATAAAATGGAAATTGAGCATATTCATAATGACGACCTAATTTCAATGTGATCAATTCTACACCAATACCAATCAGACAACAAATTACTTTACATAAACCTTCTCCTCTACTATGTTTACAACAACTCCGTGATCCAATGGATACAGTTGTAGTAGATTGTTCATTATGATGCTTGTGTTTGGTTGTAGAATAATGTTGTCTTAATGCTTGAATCCACCACCAAATTCCTAAACATAATAGATATATACCTAAATAGGTATAACTAAGAAATAATCCATCATTTCCATGATTAACTAGATGACTTGATGATATCGAATTGACATTCTCATTATGTTCATGAATATCATCATGATTAGAATGTTGCATCATTCAATGGACTAGTTGAATAGAAACGAATCTTATAATATTCTATGTATTATATACACTAAATAGGTTTAATGTTTCTGTTATATCTAATCATTGGTTCAATAAATGTTTACAATGAAAAGAAATGCTATAAGCTTTTTAACCAATCACATTCTAAATTCCATTTAATCTCTCATCACTATGGTAACTGAGTCAGTGAGTGAGTGTGTGGGTGAGTTGACAACCAAATTAGAATGAAATGAACAATCTCATTGATTTATTTAATGAGTAGTTCACATGATGCCTTATTAAGCTTGAAAATGTTTACCCTCTCTCTCTCTCTCTCTCCAGGAGTTCATACACACAACGGTGTATTTACATTTTAATAAACAATAAACTGAATGTTACTATGCTCGTATACATTCAGTCTCATTAATAATCTATATCTTTTGAAAATCGATGTATATGGGTTGATCAATTAGTGATTATGTAATATGAACGTTATGAACCTTAATAAATGAGTGATTTATGTTAATGGTGGGACTAGAATTTATGGATGATCTATAAGTGACGCTAATAATACCTTGAGAACGTCCACCTATATACTGCGGTTAAATGACGGTTATAAACCAGTGTGAAAAATTAGGATGAATATTTATAGTTGATGTGAATCCTGGAGAATTGATCAGCTGATTTCTGTCAATATGATCCTCCTCAATGGTGATTCCGATAGCCTTATGTAATTGGATAAGGCAGTAAGTGTGGTGATTCAATAGTCATTAAAAGAACTCTATGTAAGAGTAACAGGAATTTTTTTTTGATAATTTAGTAAAGATTTATTCAATTAGTATATTCTATTCATCAATGATCAATCTCATCTTAATATGAAACTATATAATGTTGGGTATCAATGACTCAATCATGGTTGGAACCCAGAACTTTCAAGTCTCATGGTCAGTGCTTTTGTCAACAGACTACAGAACAGTTAACACAGGGTTGACACTTACAGCTTAGTTAAACTATCAATTAAGAATGATGATCATTCTAGTAATTGGTGATAACTGTTATGCTTATATATTCATAGATTAACTTGGATATTTGACAATACATTTATAATCGCTTAATCTTCTAATGAAATATCAACTCGATCCAGAGAACATTTAGAGAAAAGATAAAGAATCTTTATTGAATGAAATCAATTGTAGATTTTCCTACCATATTCATGAATCATCACATTGTATTATGTTACATTTGAACATGTTCAACGAGAGAAAAAAAACATGACCTTACTGTCTTATCCAAGTATATCAGACTATCGGAATCACCGTTGAGGAGGATCATATTGACAGAAATCAGCTGATCAGTTCTCCTTGATTTACAGTAATAACTTATACCTCACATTCATGAGTTGAAGTCCCTTTTCTTTTCCTAAGGGACAAAAGACATTAAACTAAACTAATTGAATAACATGTCAGATTTTACAATACATCACATACTACTTATTAAAATTTAATAATAAGTAATCAATATCATATATGAAATAAGCTATGAAATTAAGCTAAATCACTTATTAATTAACATTCATACTACATAATCATACATTGATCAAGAAGAACCGATCAACATCGAGGTCTACATGACAAGCTGTAAACCATATATGGAGAGATATGAAGTGATTCATGTTGATTATGTCGTTGAGAAAAACGATGAATGCTCCACAATTAAACCATCTAGCTCAGAGGACGAAATTCCATAAAATTCATCCACCTGAACTACAAATCTTCTCCACCATCTCACTATTCATCTCTGCTTAAATAAATATAAGATACAGACTATTAATGAGACTGAATGTATACGAGCATAGTAACATTCAGTTTATTGTTTATTAAAATGTAAATACACCGTTGTGTGTATGAACTCCTGGAGAGAGAGAGAGAGAGGGCAAACATTTTCAACCTTAATAATGCATCATGTGACCTACTCATTAAAGAAATCAATGAGATTGTTCATTTCATTCTAATTTGGTTGTCAACTCACCCACACACTCACTCAATCACTCAGTTACCATAGTGATGAGAGATTAAATGGAATTTAGAATGTGATTGGTTAAAAAGCTTATAGCATTTCTTTTCATTGTAAACATTTATTGAACCAATGATTAGATATAACAGAAACATTAAACCTATTTAGTGTATATAATACATAGAATATTATAAGATTCGTTTCTATTCAACTAGTCCATTGAATGATGCAACATTCTAATCATGATGATATTCATGAACATAATGAGAATGTCAATTCGATATCATCAAGTCATCTAGTTAATCATGGAAATGATGGATTATTTCTTAGTTATACCTATTTAGGTATATATCTATTATGTTTAGGAATTTGGTGGTGGATTCAAGCATTAAGACAACATTATTCTACAACCAAACACAAGCATCATAATGAACAATCTACTACAACTGTATCCATTGGATCACGGAGTTGTTGTAAACATAGTAGAGGAGAAGGTTTATGTAAAGTAATTTGTTGTCTGATTGGTATTGGTGTAGAATTGATCACATTGAAATTAGGTCGTCATTATGAATATGCTCAATTTCCATTTTATACAGCAATGTTGCTAGTTGGTTTATTGGATATATTCATGTCGACAACAATCATTGTATTACCGAAAGGATTTGATTCTATGATATATGCATTACCATTCTTTGTACATACTTATTGTTTACGTGCTCAATCCTATCAACAACCACATATTACAGAAACCTGTTGTTTATTGATTAGTTATTGGGGATTGATAGTTGGTTGCTCGATGATACATGAAATGATGATGTTGACATCAATGAAGGCAGTTGAAGTTGGGGTTGGGAATGGGATGTTTAACAACTCCTTATTATGGACATGGATCAAATGTTTCAGTGTGATGATACATGGATCATGGATATGTCAAAGTGGATTTTTATTAAATTCTCCATTCAATCAAGCATGGGATGAAAGTGATCATGATAAAGTGATGTTAACTGTTGTGATATTTGTATGGCATATGTTTATTGTGATGATTGGACAATTATTATTATTAATAGTCATGGCTAAATGTTATGGTGTTTCATCGGATTGGACTGAGATGACGAACTTGTCGATTAGGAGGACACCATCATTATATAAATATGATAGAGAATCATTGAATAAATCTAATTCCATCAATCAATATGATAATATTGAATACACACAATTACTGAATACAGATTATATTGAATAGTTGTTGTTGTTGTTGTTGTGGTGGTGGTGGTGGTGTTGGTGGTGGTAATTTAGAATAATAACGATGTGCATACTACTATTCTTGTTACTATGACTACTAATTATAGTGATGAGATGTGATGTGATGTGATATTGAGTGGTGGATCGATGTATGTGAACTTGTGTTTTTCTGATTTTGTTTTTTGTTTTTTGTTTTCTTATGCAGTTTCCCATATTGTGACTTTGTTTATTGAAATGAAATGATAAGTGTATTGTTTTATTCGTCTATTTCACTTTGCCTCAATACTTTCTTGAATACATTGTGTTCACACGAATCTGATGATTCCATCAAGGTGAGTTTATGGAGAGTTTTGATTTTGGTGAGAATAAATGATAAAGTTAACAATGTGGTTTTTCATTTTACACGATGATTTTGCATTACACATTGAATGACTGTGAGGAGCATCACGTTAAGATGAATGAACTTGGAATTGACGAAGTGGTATTATGTGACTGTGTGATGATTGATGATATTAGTGATTCGACCGATTCAATAGACGTTACTGTTTGACAGGAATAATTGATTCTCATCCGATTGTATCGAATTGATGGAATTCGATAATTGATGAGGTGTCAGCATCGAAGTAGCAATGAGGAGACTAGTTGGAATCAATCAACGACTTGTTTACACTATCAGTAATCATATTGATTCTTTAGTATTTGTAAACTGATTGCAAATTCGATCAGTTTGATTAACTTCACTTGAAGTTAATTTCAATATGCAGATCAAATGAAGTTGTAAATTAATTGAATCATTGTGTGATGTGTTGATGGTGTGGACTATGCATGTGCCATTAGTTCAACGTGACTTCTGGTACTATACTGTCTGTGTTCACTTGAATGCGGGTTTAGTGTGCAACTATGAATTATATTTACACGGATATGTTGTGCAATCACTCATTGATTGGTTGTATAATTCTAATTATTACTTACATTGTGCATTCTTTCAATTGATTTTCATTATTCAGTGGAAGGTGCTCAATTATTTGTTCTGTGTTATCAGAGGATGCCATATTGTGATATTGGAGTGAAATTCCATTGGAATGATGATATTTTAATGGGAAAACACACTTATCATTCATCATCATCATCATCATCATCATCATGATTGATATAATCAATTAGATGTTGGCCTAAATTCTCTTTACTCTTGGCGTTAGACGTGTGAAATTCAATGTGTGCATTTGAAGTACCCTGCTACATTTGGTTGACCACCTGTAGTGACCGCTATCATGCTTATCCTTTGTTAGATGTGTTTGTTGTATCTTTAATCTCGGCTAATTATCACATGACTTATTCAACATTCGGAATACGACTTATGCATTCCTAGAACTGTACCAAATCAATGACATATCGACCGGTATGAGCAGTCTTGTGTCCTTATTGTTCATTTTCTTCCGAGCGCTGCAATTTCAGTTCAGGAATCCATTGACAGCTTCCACTATGCGAATCATTTATTTCAAATATATCTCGTTTATTTACAAGGCGAACCGACCATCTTACTCGATCAAATAAAAGATAACATTTGTACCAGATCCAGTGAGAATGTGGCTGTGAATGTGGGAGACTGTAATTACTAAGCTGAGTATCATTTAGGTATATCAAATAATATATCAATAGTGTATAGGTCAAAATGTAGCTAACAATAAGAGCAATATGATTATACACAATCTAGTTACTGGATAGTTATACAACAAGTATGTATATATAATATTAGT